AAAAAAAAAAAAAAAAAAAAAAAAAAGAAAGAAAGATGAAATTTCATCGAAATTTCATATCGTGTCGGAGATATGAAATTTTCGAGTAAAAATTTCAATTGCTATATGTACATTTTTAAAATTAAAACTATTAATTGATTAATTTCAATTAAGGAACAGAGAATTGCAAATCGCGGTACATTAAAATTTTCATAAAATGCGAATAACAAGGGATCTCTAGGCGAAAGTGAGAAATAATATTCGTTCGCGCGAATAAGAAAGAAACTAAGGTATTTACATTGTTAAAATTATCTCTAGTTAAGTGCTAAATAAAAAGATTATTTTGATATATGTATAATATATATAATATATATATATATATATATGAATTTCGCGCTTCAATGAAACACTTATCTATCACTCTCGCTTGTCATTTACACGTAAAATTAGGAAAATCATTGTACCCAATGATCTTCCAAAGAAACTTAAAATTGCTTTCGTTTGGAAAAAATTATCTTATACGATACGATAGTAAACAAAAAGATTAGAAAAATCAGATGTCTTTTCTCCAGAAAAGAATTGACATAATTCTTTAACCGTCAATATGTAATAGGTTGTCGCTTTGTACACACCTGTCTTTCAATACATGCATTACTTTATTGCATTTTCTTACTTGTCCTTTTTTGTTTTTTTCTTTTTCTCTCTCTTGTAAGAAATATATATTTAATTGTACATGTAATTTTGCATTAACAAGTCGACGAATCAATCAGAAAAATGTTTATTCGCGAATATTGCGTCCAATTAATTTAGCTTAGGCTACAACATCTTAAACCGATCAAAAAATCATATTTACAAATAATGTACACATCAAGAACATGTTAAAAGAAGTTCGGCAATTCGCCAATGAACGTCAAAAATCGAAGAACAATACGAATATGTTAAAAGAGATTCCCTTTGATTCCCCGGCCAAGACAAAAGGAAACGCAAGAATTTTACAGTGTTTGCTATTGAGGTGAATCTGCGCGTTAATAATAATCGTGTCACTATACCCTGTAGCGTTTTGCTTCTATGTACAGGGTGTGCTATAAAATGTTGCATTCCATACACTGCAAAAACAATGAAAGATACATTTGAATGAAACATTGTACATGATATTCCAATGATGAACTATTGTGAATCAAGTGGACGATTTGAATTTACAGATTGCATCCCTCTTCTTTCATTTCATTATCGAGTTGATCTTACAATTATGTGTTTTATGATACACCCTGTATAATAGAATCTCTCAAACAGAATGGAAATTTCGAACAAGTTCTTTCAAACAATGCTGCCTCGCAAAAGCTGCCGTGTATTTGTTACGAAAAAATATGTAGAAATTTAAGTCTTCGAGACTTATATTATCTTTTAATAGAGTTAAGTCTAAAATTTAAGTCTTCGAGTCTACTTAAAATTTAAGTCTTCGAGACTTCTAGATT